TTAGCTTTGCTTGGATACCATTCGATAATTTGCCTGGTCTGCCTACTGGCACCCATACTTGGCACACGGCCAACTCACCTTTTCCTTTTGTTTTATACTGTTTTGACGATATTGTTCGCACTAAGCGGACGTCGTCGCATTGCTTGATTCGCAGTGCCATGGCTAACTTTCGGTCATTTAACTAATGTATAAAAAGCACTGTGCATTTTAGAGTGCCCCAGCACTTTAATATAACGACAATTGAAGGCGTAGCATATGCATTTTGTAAATTATTTGTTTAGCTTCTATAAAGTAGTTATATTTTCAAATTTCAGTATCTGCAGCAGCAAACGTTCGTTAAGCATATTGAGCAGCCTGATTTTTTAATGCCTTTTCAGCTCAGCTCATTTTTTAATTTCTTTTCTCTCAGCTCATCGCACGACCAATTCAGCTGTCTTTTTCACGCTTATTTTTTTGGGGATGCGTAAAAAACGTGAACATTTGTATAACATTTTGTAGTTACGAGAAGTGGAACTACAGGAAGGAGGAAAGAATAAAAAGGTTACGGAGGCGAACAAGGAAGAGTACATTGATGCGATCATCAAGTGGCGCTTCGGGAACCGCATCAAACCACATATGGGACACATAAAGAAGGGATTGTTCGAAGTGATCCCAAAAAACATGTTATCGATTTTCGATCCCAATGAGCTTGAGCTGCTTGTCTGCGGTTTGCCAGTAATCGACATCGAAGACTGGCAACAACATACGCTGTACGCGGGTAGATATACGCGTTCTCATCCGGTAACTTTTATGAAACGATTTTTACGCGTTGCTTGACGAAAGTATTGTAGTGGCAGAAGGTGAACGCTCCCATGGGAAGCAGTCAAGAGAGAGAAGCGTGTATTGCCAAGTGGAGGTAGATAGGAATTAGAAAGATGTATGCTACTTTAGAAGGCAGATACACAGCACAAGTCTGCATAAATTAATCCTGGACTACATGGGCAAGCTAAAGGAAGTGACAGAATTGCGTTTTTATAAATTGATGGACCTATATTATTTATGCGTTAGGCTACTATTAGCTCACATTAAATGAGTGTAAGAAGACCTACAGGAGTTCGATTGGTACTGAGCGAAATACCATTTAGCTTGAATTTTAGGTTCTGTGCAGGCCCAGGGAGTTTGCTTCCCTCCTCAGTTCCAGGTTGTAAAGCTTGACTTTATTAAAGCTTGATATCAGATGTGGG